GGGTTTTGTTTAGCTTCTATATTTGCAACATAGTTGCTTAGAGTTGCAGCTGAGAGGCCGGCAAGTCAGGCAGGGAACGTTGGAGTCCACAGTCACTGGAGCAAGCAAGCCTCCCTGTTCGCTTCAGTGCATGGCTGCCGGCCGCCATCTTGGCTGACAGTTAATTTGCATAAGTATATGCTGATTAGCCAATGGGAAGAGTAGCGGTCGTACGCTAATTACCATGTTTCTCTTTTATTAGTGTAGATGGCCAGTGCATGTCATGGCAGCTCCTGTGTTGAGCGTCTGCCCCCCGGTGGTCAGTGCACATCATAGCTACTGGTCAGATGGACAGACACCTAGCTTTTTATATATAGAGATAATTTAATTCCAAAGAGTTACTATTCGTTTAAGACATGCTTTTATCCATAATCATATTTCTTTACACAAACTTCTTTTTTTCAATAGTATGACTTAAAAAATTTATTAAATTCACAGATTTGGAAAATTTGTTTAATTTATTAAATCACAAATGGCCTAAAGTTCAGGCAAATAAAATGACAATAGTATAGAGAATTAGCTATTTTTTAGATCTTTAAAATAATGGAACTAATGAAACAGATGAAATAGGGGCAATTATTTGTAACAATGAAGCTTTTATTAACCTTATGAAATTAAATCATCCCCACACTATTAAGTAGCAAGGATATAGCTAAAATATGATTGAAAGAGTTTGTGATTTTACAAAATTCTCTTTTTTATAGACAAATGTAATAAATTCATCTGATATTGGTCTGATTTAATGATGTTTTTTAAACAAACAAAAAAGCACAAAAAGTGATTTACTAACATCACAGAGTAATTCTACGCAAAGATGTGGTTCCACCATCCTATAAAATAAAAGCCTAATATGCTAAGTGTCCAGTCATTTGTTAACCAATCAAAGAGTAATATGCTAATGATATGCCGCTCAACTGCTCGCTATGACGTGCACTGACCACCAGGGGGCAAATACTCCAACTGGTAGGTTAGCTTGCTGCTGGGGTCCGGCCAATCGGGACTGAGCGAGACAGGCTGGACAGGCGCTGGAGCCCTCCCGCGGTCCCTCCCCTGCTGGCCAGCCTCTTACAGCCCTCCCTGGCCCCAATCGTGCACCGGTGGGGTCCCTCAGCCTGGCCTGCACCCTCTCGCATCCGGGACCCCTCGGGAGATGTCGAAGAGCTGGTTTTGGCCTGGTCCCAAAGGCCAGGCTGAGGGACCCTAATGGTGCACAAATTCATGCACTGGGCCTCTAGTGTAGTTATAAATTCAAATCTGTAAAGTTTTCACTATGCCTAATATAGAGCAATATCCACCGAGATTTTAATAATTACTTAAAGAAAGTGTTCTTTTCTCAAATCTGCCTCTATATAATTATCATAGATCAGTTATTGCCATTAAGAATACTTAAGATAAAATAGGCAAATTCTCTTCTAGCCTGATTGGGAAACAAATCTAGGTAGACTCTCCTTTGCTGAGATGATAAAGGATTCTGTTGCTATTTTTAATTAAACTTTTAAAGCTAGGTTTAGTAAATATTAAAAATTCACATGCAATCAATTCTTTCAAAAAATATATTTTTTATTGATTTCAGAGAGAGGAAGGGAGAGAGATAGAAACATCAATGATAAGAATCATTGATCAGCTGCCTCCTGTACCACCCCCTACTGGATATTGAACCCGAAACCCAGGCATGTGCCCTGATTGGGAATCGAACCATGACCTCCTGGTTCATAGGTTGAGGCTCAACTGCTAAGCCACACCAGCTGGCTGCAGTCAATTCTTTATCTCCATTTTTGGAGCTATTTTTCCATTACTGGCTTTTGGCTAAGTCAAGTGGATCAGTCATTCAGGCTCAGAGGGAAGCTAAGCCTTTTGCTTCCCATTCATTCTTTCTTTAATGAAGAACACTTGCTCTCTACACATGAAAAGGAAGAGACTTAGAGAGGGATTAAAATCACTAATCCTAGTAATAAATTCATCCAGATTCGGTCATTCCAGATATCAAACTCTCATCATTTAATCTTTCAAGTCTCCAGTCAAAGTTGATTGTATTTTGTTATGTATTTATCATCACCTACCTGGCTATGTCATATACACGGTCCGCAATCCGACTTCCAACCTGAAGGATTGAAGAAACAATGATGTACACAAGTTAAGATGAGTAGGTTTAACAGAGAAGTAACACTCTTCTTCTAGTATTTAACAATCCATAGGTTATTTATATTTCAGCATGTTTGTAAGTACTTTATCCCCACTTCAATGTGACTATAGCAACTTTCTTTTCAAATGCTAAATAGGAACATAAGAAATAAAATATCCCAGGAAACAAATTGAGGCAAATTACTTCAGAATTCAAGTTAAAGAAAATCAAGACTAAACATATTCTACATATACTATATTCTGTGTGTGTGTGTGCCATATATACGTATATAGCCTTTATATTTTATATTTTATATAAAGGCTATATACGTATAAGAGCACAAGAATGAAAATCAACAGGAACATAATAGAAACATTAATTACTCACAGATTATAGCATATTGTATATAAAAGTGAAAAAGTATTAAATTAGCTGGGGTGTATTACAGATCAGTATGTAAACTTAATCACTCAATTAAAAACTCTATCATTTGATGACTACTAACAAATTCTGTAGAACTCCTAAATGAGTAAACAACTTCCCTGTGTAATGTTTTCCAATTAGAAAAAGTCAGCCAATTCTGAAAGAAACTGTAATTCCCACGCCTTTCCCAACCCCACCCTAATTTAAAAGAGGTCATAAAAAAGGTGCCTCCTTTTTTTTAAAAAATATATTTTGATTTTTCACAGAGAGGAAGGGAGAGGGATAGAGAGTTAGAAACATCGATGAGAAACATCGATCAGCTTCCTCCTGCACACCTCCTACTGGGGATGTGCCCGCAACCAAGGTACATGCCCTTGGCCGGAATAGAACCTGGGACCTTTCAGTCTGCAGGCCGATGCTCTATCCACTGAGCCAAACCGGTTAGGGCAAAAGGTTCCTCCTTTTGCTGGTATAGCTTCACCCAGCAGAAATGAATGCAGGAGCCTAGTATTTCCCACATTCTACTCATTCCCTCATAAACACCCCGGAGTTTCTAGTTGGACCTGAAAGTTTAGAACATATGTGTATCTGTTTGGGGGGTAGGAGTGGAGAAGGGAGGAGGTACAACAGAAGTCTTTTCCCAGAGTCCACTTTGGACATTATGCCCAATATGAATACCTTGTATTTATTATAAAAAGAACTCTCATATACTTTGTTTCATTTATTCTAGTCCTGTACATTGGCCAGGCCCCAGTCTAATTGTAATACAGGAGCTTTTCGTGGAGAAGACTGGCTAGGAATGCCAATCTTCTAAATACTTGTCATCATGAACTCTGAGAAGATAATCAATGATCAGATCAGGCCAGGGCTTGCACAGAGCTCTGACCAAAGTAGGAGCTCCGTGTTTGTTACTTGACTTCTATTTTGCTCGACCCCTAAAGAACCAACTACATAGGCCTCAGCTTTGTACTTTCTATTGAGAGAGTAGAAAACCCTCAGTCTCTAGTCTACCTGGGCTGAGAAGAGGAGGTCTCTCAAACCAGCACAGACAAACGAGAGATCTTAATGTATCTTAATCTGATCTTCCCCAAACAAAAATCAGATCCTACCACTCCACTGCTAAAATCCATTCAACCGCCTCACATTCCTCTACAGCAGTGCTGGCCAATGGAAAACCGTAAGAGCCACATGTATAGTTTAAATTTTCCTAGTAGCCACTTTACATTAAAAGAAACAGGAGAAATTAACATATTCATTTAACCCAATATATAAACAATGTAATTTCAACATGGAATCAATATAAAAAGTTATTAGTGAAATATTTTACATCCTTTTCCATACGTCACTGAAATCCAGTGCACTTTATGGACTAGCCATATCTGAAGTGCTCAGTAGCCACATGTGGCCAGAGATTACCATATTAAATGGGGAGCTGAGATAGAGAAGAAAACCCGAAGTCTTTACCCCTTTTGGCTCTTACAACCTGGGCCCACCCTGCCCTCCTCTCCCACACTCTCACCAGGGGGCTCAACGAGGTCCTTTCGGCCTCAGGGGCTCTGCATTTGTCTTTCCCTTTGCCTGCAAAGCCTTCCTCCCCAGATCTCAGGGTGGATTATTATTATTATTTTTTTAAGAGTATTGGTTTTCTTTTCTTTTTTAAAATATATCTTTACTAATTTCAGAGAGGAAGGGAGAGTGGATAGATAAAAACATCAATGATGGGAATCATTGATCAGCTGCCTCCTGCACGCCCCCTACTGGGGACCGAGCCCGCAACACAGGCATGTGCTCTTGACCGAAATGGAACCTGGGACCCTTCTGTCCGAAAGCGAAGCTCCATCCACTGAGCTAACGAACTAGGCTCAGGGTGGATTCTAGTGCCTCATCAGATCGTCTGTCGATGGCCTTCCCTGACCATCGCAGTCACTATACCACTTCACCTTATTATCTCACCTTACTTCTTAGCTGACATCAATTTTTTGTTCACTGTCTCGCCTCCCACAAGAATGAAATCTATTGAGGGCAGCGGTCTACTTTGCCCTGGGCATATCTATAATTCAAGCAATATGAATGAGTGGATGAATGAATGAGTGAATGTGCATCTTGCAAATATCCGAGCCCAGCCCTTCCGTGATTAGAGCAGAGGCCCAGAAAGGCAGGGCGCTGCTCAAGGTCACGCGGCGAGATGGGGTCGGTCGGGACCAGGCCAGAGCTTCGGGCCAAAGCCCAGGCTCGGCGCCGCCCTCCCCCGCCCCGCGGACTCACCTCTTCCTTCAGGTACTCAAACTTCATAGGCTCGGGCTGCCGGGCCGCCCAGTTCTTCTGTTTCCTCTTCAAATCCCGATCGAAGATATTTAGAGCTCTGGGCGAGGCGCTGCCCGGGGGAGAGACGCCAGAGGCGACCTTTCGGACACCAAGGTTCTTCCCCGGGACCCCCGCCACCGAAGGTCGCCGCCACCGGAGCCAGAACCCGGTCAGCGGCAGCATCTCCCGGAATAGTGCCATTTGCTGGCGCGCCTGTCGCGCGCATGCGCCGCCGCAGCTTCGGCGACTACTCTAGAGCTCTTCGCGGAGGGAAAGCGGAGGTAGTTTGGCCCAGGTCGCCTGCCATTACGGCGGAGCGTCACGCAGAGGATTGTGGGTGCGGTCCCACGTGAGGCTTGGAGAAGGCTCCCAGGAGGTGAGTGGGATACGGTTCTACCGGGACTGTGGAGGGGGCAGGAACAGTCTGTGACAGGAATCGTGAGGGATGCTCCCTTCTTCTTTGCTTTCCGGCCTCATTTGTCAGACTCCCTTGGTCCTTCGCAGGTCCTGTAGCAGCGTCCTGAGGCTTGGGAGCTGGGAAGGAGACCCTCGTTCCGGCCCACCCTGGTGTTCCCCGCGTTAGAGGGTGGGTGTCAGGGAGGGTGGACGCAGAGCTGAGAGCGTCCGTCGGAGGTGAGGTCGGGCCGCCATCCCCGCTCTGGATATCGGAAGTTTGCCCAATGCTCTCCTTCTAAGCGTGTGCATGCATTACCTCTGGTCGTTGGATGAGATGGTACCCATCTCGTAAGGCTGTTCAAAGGGGTAAATGCTTTAACACATCTAAAACTCGCAGAACACCACCTGGCACGCTGTTATTCATACTACTTTTTAAAAAATATACATATCTTATTGATTTTTTATAGAGAGGAAGGGAGAGGGATAGAGAGAAACATCGATGAGAGAGAAACATCTATCAGCTGCCTCCTGCACGCCCCCTACTGGGGATGTGCCCGCAACCAAGGTACATGCCCTTGACCGGAATCGAACCTGGGACCCTTGAGTCCTCAGGCCGTCGCTCTATCCGCTGAGCCAAACCGGTTAAGGCATTCATACTACTTTTAAGTGTGCATGAGGGTTATTGAAACCTATGATTTTTCTTGGCGTATAAATATTGTTTTAAAATTTTAGGGTAAAAATACAGCTGTATCGTCAAGCCTTGCTTTTTTGAAACAAAGCACACTATCCTGTTTGGTTAGTTACTTTTTGCTCTTAATAACCAATGGCTTTGGACTCTTTACAAAATTTCAAATCGAGAGATACTAAACCATTAGTGACTATTTTCAGGAAACAGTGCTAATTACATACACACGTATTCTAATATGTTAGGGGGCGGAGCGGGATCAGCCCATTTGGGCCTTGGTCACTTCTAGAATAAGAAGTCGTAGAAAGACATATTTATTAACTAGAGTGAGACTGCCTGGTTCTTGAAGGATGGTCGGATCTAAAGAGGGAGCTTTGTGAGCTAAACCCTACTTGATTTTGGTCTATTTTGTTAGGAGATTAGCCTTGTAGAACTAAAGGCTGTTTGTCATAACATAAGGCAAGGATTGACAGAGTGAGTGGGACCAGAATGTGAAGAAAAAAATGAGACCAGTTGAAGCTTGGGAATCTTAATTACATTAGCTTTTAACTTGTAATGCATACAGTTATACAAACAGAAATAGAGAAATTCTAAGTGAGTACAGTTGGTTAGTAAGCATTTGTCCCAGAATTCTGCTTGCTTTCGCCTTAAATTTATTTTTTCAAGTACTCTGTGATTCAAAGGGATATTCTGATAGCTTTTGGTTTTCTGCATGTGACTCAGACTAAGTTTCTAAATGAAATTAAACTTTTTACTTTTATTTGCATTTAACTTAGACTATATTGTGAATTAGTATTTTTTCCTGAAACATCTCATTTAATTATATTACTAAGCCTTCATTATTGTAACATTTGTTTTATTTTTCAGTATTTGGTTTCTTCAAGCATTTGTCCAGTCAGACATTTAAAAATGTCATCCAAACAAGAGATAATGAGTGACCCGCGGTTTAAGCGGGTTACAAAGGACCCAAGATTTTGGGAAATGCCAGAAAAGGATCGAAAAGTCAAAATTGACAAGAGATTTCGAGCAATGTTTCATGACAAAAAGTTCAAGTTGAATTATACTGTGGATAAAAGAGGACGCCCCATCACCCACAGCACTACAGAGGACTTGAAACGTTTTTACGATCTTTCAGATTCTGATTCAGATCTCTCAGATGAAGATAACAAAGCATTAAACCAAAAGAAAATAAAGAAGAAAAAACCCCAGAAAAATGAAATTGAATCAAATCTAGTTGAGAAAAAGAAAGAAACCAAGAAAATTAACCAAAAGGATTCTGGAAATAAAAATGATTTGGATAACTCTGACAAAATTCAGAAAATGAAAAACTCATGCAAATATAAGAAGGTAGATTCAAAAATAAGTCCCAAGAAAGATAGTGAAGAATTTATGCCAAAAAGTGCAAAAGGGGAAAAAAGTAATGTTCAACATAATACAGACTTGTGTCCCAAAGGAAGTCTAAGGACAGTAGACTCAGGCACTTCTGAAATTGTGAAATCTCCCAAGATCAAGTATTCTAAGACAAGAAGAGAAATGCAATCAGGTTTGTTGGAATAAATTAAGGATTCCTTGGTATTACATTATTTATATTTATTCTAATCTTTTTTAAATGTAAGCCTATTCAATAAGTATTTTTACAGTATAATGGGGTGTATCCAGTGCTTATTTAAAAGTATAAAGGTACGAAAGAAAAAACCATATAATCATTATTAATATTTGATTTAGTGCTATAATGGCTAGAAGAGATATAAAAAATTGAGTCCTGAGGTTAAACAATAAATTGGATTTGTGGTGAGCACTAGGAAGAGCTGTATTCTCTAATCAGATAAAGTGTTGTTATGTTCTCATCAAATGATAAGAAGAGTTGTGCCTGAAGAAGATAATAGAATTGGGTACTCATTTATTTCTTCATTTAACTACTATAAGTGATTAGCATTTAGTAGATAGACCATGAGTAAGACATGGTTCCCCTCTCAGGGCTACTGTTAGCTTATATAATGTCTGTGAAAATTAGAAAAAGGTATGCCCTCCTGAACACACAGAACTCACAGTTTGGTGAGGGACAGCATATTTAAGTGAAGCAACAGGTTCTCTTAACATGAGTAGACATAGCTTTTCTACACAGTGCATTGCTTAGAGAGTGGAGTTTGCCTTGATTTCAGCCTAACTTGCCCTTTTGCAGATCCTCTATTGCAAAAGACAGCTTTCTAAACTGGAGCCCTGGTCGAAAGCAGTATTTTTCAGTCACCCCAATAAATTTAATAAACATTTTTTTAAAAGTAGCACTGTCCAATGGAAATATCTAATTTTGAATTTCCTATAAAATATGTTAAAAAGTAAAAAGCAGGTGGAATTAATTATATTAATATATTATATTTAAGCCAGTATATAAAACATTATTTCAATGTGTAATCAATATAAAAAATTTAGCCAGGCTGATGTGGCTCAATGGTTAAGTGTCAACCTGGAACCAAGAGGTCATGGTTCCATTCCCGAGCAGGGCACCTGCCCAGATTGCGAGTTCGATTCCCAGTAGGGGCATACAGGAGACAGCCGATTGATGTATCTATCTCATTGATATTTCTGTCTCTCCTCCCTTAACTCTGAAATCAATAAAAAAATATATTTTTTTAAATGATAACAAATTATGAGGGGATCGATTAATAAGTAAGTTATGGTACATCCAAGTGTGATTATGATATATGCAGTTTTAAAAATAGGCTACAAAATAGCATAAATGGTATGATTAGCTACTTAAAAATAATTAGGGGATATATCATAGAAAACAAATTTAGGGAGTTATGTACCAAAATAACCATCCAGTTATCTCTGAATGAAAAATTGCTAGTCATCTTTTCTTTTCTTTCTTTATATTTTCTTAGTTTTTTTGTAATGAACAATTTTATAATTAGGTGGAAAATGATAAAACTGTTTTTTAAGGAACTGGATAAGTAGTGTTTACAATCGCTAATAGAGCAGTACCATTTAAGAATAGAGGCAATCCCACATTATCTAGCATAAGGCTTTGTATGTGGTGGGCTCTGAGCAAAAATTGAATACTCCAAATATATCTAATATTGTCAAAAAATATTAAAATACTACATCTCTTTAAATCTCCCATGTATCACACCCAAAGTGTGATATGTAGTATTACTATCATGTGAAAAGATGTCATATGTGAGATATTCAAAACTTTTTTTATGTTAATAGTTATGTATTTACTTCAGCATCTTAGGAAAAAGTGTAACTACCACATTTCAGGGATTTTATTTAGAACAAAGCTAATATTTAAAATTTAATTTAAAAATATTCAATTTAATGAAAAATATTGGTGATATGCAAAAACCATGAAAATGGTATGAAATGACTAATGCTTGATAAATATTGCTATAATTGTTAGGCATAGGCCCCCAAGATGTTATTTCTGAGCATGTTGATTAAAAGAGAATTCTGATGCTTATCTTAGAGTAAAATTATTTCACCATTATGATGGTGTCTTTCTAATCCTATATACAGAACTTATAATAATGCTTTCTTTTTATTCTTTCATATCTACTGCCTAGTTATTTTTTATTACTCCCATTCTTTTTTGGTACTAAAATAAAGCCTATTTCCTACTTTTTCTCTTTAAAAAATCCTTTCCATTTAGTTTCAGATCAAATGGCATCTTTGTGAAGCCTTCCTTATTATAAATACCTCTCTGCAGGCAAATTTAGATGTGTCTCTCTCTGTGGTGCTTTAGAATATAGCTTCATAAATCACCAAACAATTTCTTTTTGGTTATGAACTCATCAAAAGCATGGGATCACATTACAAATCATCTCCCTTTTCCCTTTCCCTAGCTCAGTGCTTTTAAATACTTAATAAATATTTGGTCAATGAATGACTATTTTAAGACTATAGGACAGTGATGGCAAACCTTTTGAGTTCGGCGTGTCAGCATTTTGAAAAACCCTAAGTTAACTCTGGTGCCGTGTCACATATAGAAATTTTTTGATATTTGCAACCATAGTAAAACAAAGATTTATATTTTTGATATTTATTTTATATATTTAATGTCATTTAATAAAGAAAAATCAACCAAAAAAATGAGTTCACGTGTCACCTCTGACATGTGTTTCATAGGTTCGCCATCACTGCTATAGGACCACCCTTTGTAACTAAGTTAGTTACAAAGTTCAAGATTTAGCAGGAAAGTTAAAATTATTA